AAGACTTATTTAAAAATTGATTTTATGACTTCACAACAAGATTCTATTTTTTTCCCCTGAGAAACATACTTCAGTTGATGCTCTTTTCTTTTAAAAATGTTTTTAAAGATAGACAGTGTTTTTTTGTTATGTAGAGGTGCGTTCGTACATTGAAGCATTAGTTCCCATAGGAACTAATGCAAAGCTGGTTAATACGTACTCTACCACTACGGGGAGATTTTTTTTTTTAACCTAAGATGACCTAAGGTTAAAAAAAGAGCAGGAAAGGTTTTTTTTCCTGTTCTTATCTTGGATTTCTGTTCTCAAGTAGAAGCAAAATTTAGCAAATGGAGCTGTTCTTAAGTTGGATTGTTCTTAAGTAGGGACGTTCTTAAGTAGAGACCCCACTGTATTTAAAAATTGATTTTATGACTTCACAACAAGATTCTATTTTTTCCCCCTGAGAAACATACTTCAGTTGATGCTGTTTTCTTTTAAAAATGTTTTTAAAGATAGACAGAAGTTCTCTTTTAGCTGCTGTTGACATAGTTCTTGCCTATGGAAATAAAGCCTCCCTTAGGATCATATACTGATCAAAGGTACATTGATGAGAGACAGGGAGAGGTTGGATGATTCCCCTAAATGAATCTTCTATGGGTTAAAGAACTAAAGATTCTTTTCACAACATTTGCAAGTTAATATGTAAAGATCATTGCAGCATAAATAATTGTTCAGATTTAGTCCTTAAGAAAACATGCTTTTTATTTCATCTGAAGACTAGTGTAGATAATATCTTGATAACAAGGACCACACAGCTTTTTTATTTCTTGCTTTTCTTTTATTTACTTGCCATTCACCACTACTAGATTGATCATTTGCTTTTGGCAGGCAAACATGTGTCTTTTCATAAGGAACTTGAAAGCTGACCTAAAATTTGAGAACATTATGGGGCATGTCATCCATCTTATATAGATCCATACTTGCCTTGTCTGGATTCTCCAAGATCAAGTTCTCTTGCATTTAGCTGTTCCTTTTGAAATCTGTCTCCATGACTGACCATGTCTTCCTTTCATTAAGGAGGGTACCAGGTGGTGGTAAGCTGGCCCAAGTGATCCCAGAAATGTAAACAAGATACCATGGTTGCAGCAGAAGATATATTACAATTTGTTTGTAAGTTAAGATCAAGAAATACAAGATGGGAAGCAGCTGCCAATGGCTGCAAGAAGACTAGGGAATGGACTGGGTGCGAAAACTCCAGAATTTGGAAAAGTTAGTTTTTTATTGTCAGAATTTCTAATACCTCCACGACATCCCCCCCGAAATAATCTGAGAACCTGCCCATCTAATGTATTGCTTGAACCAATGTCTCCTTTAACTGAATTCAAATGTCATTTGCCTTCTTTCCTTTAAATTCGTCTTCAAAACCCATCTTTTTCAAGTCTTTCATTAAGCACCCCCTAATCCATCCATCTTGCTTTAAGTCAACTTGTAGCAAAAATCTAAGCAGAGGTGTCTCAAACAACTGTGTTTAGCTTCCTGATTGTGTTTTCCTCAGTTTTCTTTCCCTTCTTTTGTTACTCACCTGTTGGGAAAGCTTAGATTGTAAGCTCCTTGGGGCATCCACCTATTATTAGGTACTCTGAAAAATGTCTCTAACATATGCATTCAGATAATGTTGCACAGATGCATGCAGATGTACAGTGCTTCCGGACCCCATTTTTATTGTGACTTGGAATGCCTCAGTAATTTCAGTCTGTTGGGGAATCTAGAAGACAACCTTTTCAATCTGCAGTGCTCCTGTATTTTACCTTTGGTTTCTTCCATTTTTTTTCCATAGTAAAGAAAATCTGGTAAGGCAAACAACAAAAGTTGCACAATGCCTTTTAATGTGGATCAAGAAAATTCCTCACTTCTAGGTTTTGGAAGCAGTTAGATTACAATAGTGTCAGTCAGCTGATTTATGGATGCCTAGCGCCATCATGTGTTTATGGCATAGAACTTTTTTAAACATTAAATTCACAAAATTCTGGAAGGCACAAATTCAGTTTATTCCCATTGATCCTTGACACAGTTAAGTGTGCTTCATACTTCAAAGAATAGGAGACTTCTACTTGTAATTCATTAGGATATTGCAGTTCATCACCCTAGATTTGGAGTACAACCGGGACAGTTAGGTGTGCTTCAGATTTAATTAGGATATTCCAGTTCATCACCCTAGATTTGGAGTACAACTACAGAGTCTTTTCACAGTAGCCAAAATCCTGTTGGCGTAAAGTTCCAATCCCAGCAGTGGTGATCCAGTGGCAATATAGTCTTCTTATTATTAAAGGCTCCCGATTTTTCTGTAGTTCTGATGACTTTTGGCTTCTTAGGGTTCACCTTCAAGCTGGTTGGGTAGTTCAGTGAGATGGCACACTTGGCTGTGGAGCCAGAACTTAGTCAGAAGTTCAATCTCCACTGTGTCTTGTAGGAGAGGAATCAGCCTCTATAGTCTTATGCAATTGGTGGCGCTGCGGGCTAAACCGCAGAAGCCTGTGCTGCAGGGTCAGAAGACCAAGCAGTCATAAGATCGAATCCATGCGCCGGAGTGAGCGCCCGTCGCTTGTCCCAGCTCCCGCCAACCTAGCAGTTCGAAAGCATGCAAATGCAAGTAGATAAATAGGGACCAACTCAGTGGGAAGGTAACAACGTTCCATGTCCAAGTCGCACTGGCCATGTGACCACAGAAGATTGTCTTCGGACAAAACGCTGGCTCTATGGCTTGGAAACGGGGATGAGCACCGCCCCCTAGAGTCGAACACGACTGGACAAAAATTGTCAAGGGGAACCTTTACCTTTAGATAGATCCCTCAAGAAGAAGGGAACAGTATACCACTTCTGAGGATTCTTTAACTAAAAACCCTTGAAACGGGTTGCTTTACGTAGAATCCACTTGACAGTGCAAGTGGTAAACCTGCTTTTGCACTTTCTTCTTTCACCTTCTCAGTTACTAGGGCTACTTTCTGCCTATAATATGGTGTCATCAGCATATCTTAAATCAATGACATTTTCCACCATTTTGTTGCTTGTTAAAAAAGGAAACAGCACACATTATACATACGATTGTGCTATGGCTATCTAGGAGTAACTGCCTGCAATTTTCCTACTTTATTTAGCTAAGAGACATGCAACTATTTATTTTTTAAAACACTTCACAATGATTCACCACATTTCAAGACATCACTGCTGTGGCTTCTCAAAATTTACTGTTCATTCTACTGAAACCTAAAATATATGACATTCTGGCTGAACTCCTGTTGCTTAGTGTAATAAGTCGCAACTAGAGTAGGCCCATTGAATCACTGGAACTTATGGAGGTGTTCTTACCAAATCCCAGTGACACTCCACTAAGCAACAGGATTTCATCCTCTATGTAAATTGGATGCTCTATTTGTGCTACTATTAACTGTCAACCAGAACTAGAGAGATATGATCAATAGGACTTGTCACAAACAGAGGGAATTCCCTTGCCACAGGGAAGAGGGCATCGATTTATTCTCCATTGCACCTGAGGGTAAGACAAGAACCAATGGGTGGAAACTGATCAGAGGGAAATCTAACCTGGAAATAGCAGCTTGCCTCCTGATGTTGTGGGTGCCACCAACCTGGAAATAACAGCTTGCCTCCTGATGTTGTGGGTGACACATTGCTGGAGGTTTTCAAGAAAAGATTGGACAGCCATCTGTCCGGGATGGTGATAGGTTTCCTGCCTTGGGCAGGGGGCTGGACTAGAAGACCTCCAAGGTCCCTTCCAACCCTACGACGATTCTACAATGACATCATTGTAGTTCAATTCATTTATGTTGGTCTAGACCATTGGTTCTCAAACTGGGGTCCCCAAATGTTCTTGCACTGCAATTCCCAGAAGTCTTCACCACTTGTTGTGCTGACTGGGATTTCTGGGAGTTGCAATCCAAGAACATCTGGGGACCCCAGTTTGAGAACCACTGGTCTAGACCAACAGAAATGAACTGAACTACATTTAACAGATTGGCTTGAGTTGACTTTGATAGGGAAATCTAATTGTCCTTCAGTGACATACCCACTGGGTCAATGGGTCTCACGTCAGTGTTGAATTACCAACACTGATTCATGGAGTCTGCTTTACTTGGGAGTAACAATTAGATGCACAGAGAGCTGTTGTGGTGTATAGCAAAGAGTGAAAGATTAGGACTTGGGTTCAAATCCCTGTTCAACCATGGAAACTCATTGCCAAAGTGACAATACTAAAACATGTCCTTAAATATCAAACAGCAGATAAAACAAACAAATAAAAACAAGAGACTGAAACTGTCACGGTGCCTTCAAGGCTAACTGCTATATTTTAATGGGAATGTGCATGGAACAAAGACCTGATTTACAAAAACTCACATTAAAATACAGCAGTTAAGTCTTCTTAAGGCCCCATAGCATTTATGTCTTCTTCCTTTTTGTCCGATATTTCATTTTTTTTGTCTGCACAGACTTAATACATCTTTGAAAACTTAAATATCTCACTTGTTTTGGAAACTCTATTAGGATTGCTGTAAGTCGGATGCAGGTTAAAAACATGTAACATAAAAAATATACCTGCAAATAAGCCCACTGTATGGAGTCAGCCTTCCTAGTTACCGAGCATAAAATGACTTTGTGTATCTGACAAGAGCATACACACGTTTAAGTAGGTGTCCTTCCCCTTGATTATGTCTGACCTTTAATTATTTGAAACAATCTAAATATTTTAAACGTCGAGCAATATATGAGACACAGCAAGTACTTCGGCACCTGCCGCAAAATAATATAAAACTACATATAATCCCGTCCCCCCAATGAAATAATAAGACCGAGTTGCCACCAGTTCCTCCCCGGTGACAAAAAGATGGTGGGACTTGGTCAAACGAAGAGTCAGAGGAAACGCGGATAGGGCAAGAGAGACGTCCATCCAGCTCTCCACCAATAGAAAAATGTAGACCCGGGCGAGAAGGCGGGAACCCGGAAGAGAAATTGCAGGCCGCTCTGAGCCTCACTTCCGCTCCTTGGAAAGCGAAGGGAGAGGCGGCGGCGGCGGTAGCGGGTGGTCGCAATGTTTCGCTTTTTGGTGAGTCTTTTTTTAAGGGCTGCAGAGCCTGGGCTCGGAAAAGCGCGGAGGGCGGGAAGGAGCCTCGGTTTCGATGAAGAGACCGGCTAGAAAGGTCGGCGGTCTCCGTCCTTCCCATTGCCATCAGGAGATGGGAAAATCGATGTCCTGACGTTGCATTCTGGTGCATCCTTTCTTGAGAGTAAGCCCTGCTGAAAACAGTGGCATTTACTGCATTGCTGAGTATAGATAGAATGCAGGATTGCACCGTGACAGTGGTTTGCCGAAGGCGATTGCCCATGTTGACTGGAGCAGGGGTTCCCAACCTGGAATCCTTGGACGTTCTTGGACTACAACTCCCAGGAATCTTGGTCAGAACGGGTAGTGCTGAAGTCCGGGGAGCTGTAGTCCGAGAACATCTGGGGATCCAAGGTTGGAAACCAGTGGACTGGAGCATTCAGGGAGTTATAGGTTGCGGGGAGGAAAGTAACTTTGGAAAAGATCTGTGCAATATGAGGAAATGTAGAGAGACACCCCACTCCCGTTTCCTAGTTTCAGTTACTTAACGAATTACTTTAGGACTTAACGAAGACGACAAGCTTCAACCCCATCCTTACGTCTGCAGTGCTTTATGGCACTTTTTTGGGTAGTTTTTAGAAGCTTCCGCTGTAATTGTAGCCTCTTGGTCGGGATTAGGTGCTCTGGACACATGCTTAGCAAAACCGCAAACTAATTTAGCAATGACAACAAAGCAGAAAGCAGTTGCTTTGTTGGCCCTAGTGAAGGTAAGACCTGCCAGCTTTCTTCAAACCAGTGCATTCTAGAGATGGGATGATAGCTCCCGTCATTCCTGGGCAGCATGATAGTTGGCAAGCTAGCAGCCACTTGGGTATCTCCAGAAGCTCCCAAACAGGATCTGTTCCCCATTTTTACCCCCACTGTCTTGTATTCAAAGAATACTGCTCTTGAACTTTAAGATGAGATTTATGAACTGGAATGGTAAAAGACATGGCCAGTATCCTTTTGCTTAGGATTCAGATGGGCTTATACCAACTGTGACTTTAGCACAGTAATTTGCAGTTAGTGTGGGCCCATCTGAGTCAATAGAGCTTGTAAATGAGTTGATTCACTAAGTACTTTAGCACAGTAATTTGCAGTTACTGTGGGCCCATCTGAGTCAATGGAGCTTGTAAATGAGTTGATTCACTAAGTCCCCATTGATTCAGTGGATGTATGCTAGGGTGATTTACCAAACTAAGCAACAGGATTTTGGCCTGTATGTGGGTCTCACAGTATAATATACACCTGTTCTTCCAAAGGTCACTTAGGGCTGAAATGGAGACCTCACTGATAAGCCCAATCACTAAATTACTGCCTTTGGAATCAGTATTGATTCCTTTATTTCAGGAGTGTAACGTTTGCTCCATAGCCTTCTTGGTGTTGTGGTCCTCACAGTATAACATACACCTGTTCTTCCAAAAGTCACTTAGGGCTGAAGTGGAAACCTAACTGATAAGCCCAGACACTAAATTACTGCCTCTGGAATTAGTACTATTGGTTCCTTTATTTCAGGAGTGTAACTTTTGCTCCATAGCCTTCTTGGTGTTGTGGTCTCTCAGCTTTCCAAGCAGTGTTATCCATGTGACTGGTTTGTCCGAAGGCAGGAATCAAGAATGCCATCTGGTATTTAGCAAGCACCATTGCAAGCTTTATCAGTTTGAAAACAGAGGAGCACCAGTGTTAAAATGATTGTACATTTTGGGGGATCCCTCCAGCTAGCCTGGTTGAGTATGGATCTTCTTGCTGATTCACTTTAACAACTGCCACCAGAACACAGAACGCTTTCGAATGAAGTCCACACATACTAATATACTAGGGTATTGAGACTTTGTATTCTCTTTGACTGAATTGTGCTGGTTCTGCCTTCTTGCTGGTGGCTATGCTGTTTAGGCATTCTGGAATTCAAGAATGCCTTTTTTCTTAAGCTTTGGTGCAACCCTCTTGAAAACGGGGATTTACCACCTGGTAGTTAATTCCATTGCTCTTCCCACTATGGAGTTTATCACAAGGTTGAACCTTGGAACCAACCTAATGTTCAGTGTGCTGTCTTGTAACTTAATCCCATTAGATCAGTCCTTCATCTCTGAGTCAGCTAAGTATTGCCTTCTAGTTGCCCACTAAATAAATGTTACAAAAATTGACACCTCTCTCTTTCTCACTTTAATCTTGCATCCCATATTTTTTAAAAAAGTAATGACAGTTGTGCTTTAAGTTTAGAGGATTGCAGTCTAGAAGGCATAACCCTCTGAGTCAGCTAAGTATTGTCTTCTAGTTGCCCACTAATGTTACAAAAATTGACATCTCTCTCTTTCTCACTTTAAACTTGCATCCCATATTTTTTTAAAAGTAATGACAGTTGTGCTTTAAGTTTAGAGGATTGCAGTCTAGAAGGCATAACAGAAAAAGAACAGCGGATGGGGAGGGAAGATGAAGACAAGGAAATTCAGACACATTTTCTTAGGCTGCGAAGGAGTGACTAATGGAACAAACCAAAGCCAGATGGAAGCTGTTTGCTCAGACGTTAACTTGATGATGATGATAGTTCCCTTTCCATCTCTTTCCTTATGTTGTAATGAGTGCTGGTGAGAGTTCAGGAAGAGGCATAGGAAGCTGATCAGCCTGACCATTGTCCCTCTAGCCTAGTGGTTCCCAACCTTGGGTCCCCAGATGTTCTTGGACTACAACTGGCCAGCACAGCTAGTGGTGAAGGCTTCTGGGAGTTTTAGTCCAGGAACATCTTGAGGATCTAAGGTTGGGAACCACTGTTCTAGCCCTTTACTTACCAAGGCTTCAGCAGGATTCTTTCTCAGACCTACTTAGAGATCTCAAATAACAACCAAGTCAGGCCCTGCTTAGAGTCCAAAAAATGGGGCAAAACCAGATGTGCTGTAACCCTTTAAGAGTTTAAGACTAGTTATCAGAGTTAGCTAACTTAGCTGTTTGACTGTAGGCAGGTTTGCAAAAATGTGGGTATACTTAGCTAGTTGGTACGGTGGAACAACTTGCAAATGTGATCAATGTGTTTGTGGACTTACCTTGTCTTTTCAAGTGATATCAAGCAAGGGCAGAGCTGCATTTCCCCAAGGAATGTGTCATTTTTAATCTATGTGTGCAATCTGCATTATATTATCAGTTACATACAGCCCGACAGCATCTTCCATCAGTGATAGAACCCATTGACCCTTTCCTAAAAGCAAAGGTAAAGCCCTAGTTTTCTTGACTTGATATTCTAATAATGGTATTTAAATATGACCTCTATATTGAACCATCAGTGTAGGCAGAAAGGTGGATCATGTCCCATATTTTTTATAAAGTATATGATCAGTTTGTCGTGTACACTATTAAGAAAAATAGAAGCATGGGTTCATGTATCTTTCTTTATGTGGAACTAATGAAACTACTAATTGTCTGCCCAATTAAAACAGAGACAAAAGCTCATAGGCCTTGAGAAAAATTCATGCAGACTAAACTGTAGTACTGAACTAGAAGGAAGGGAAATATACCCAAACTGGTCACAATTCTAGCAATATCAAAGGCGGGGGGGAAGATTACCACCATAAGTCAGAATTGATTTAATATTGATTTGATGGCACATTGTTGTTATTATTAAATAAATTCCAGAACAATGTTACAGTTTCTTCTGTATCTTTTTCTCAAGTCCTATGAAGGAATTTTTGTCCCTGAAGTTTGCAATGTTTTTCTAAACCATGTTCCTATGCAACTGATGTGTCATGTTTCATAGTACAGTATCTGCAACATATTTAAAGTTCTTAAAAGTTTCTGAGTTGCCTTTTTTCTCTCTGTCCCTAGATAAACAAGATTAAGTCTAAATCCAAAGTTCAGTTTAGCCCTGTTCAGGTGTTTGTGTGAATGCATGAGAGCCATAAATAGAGAGAAAGATAATGCAACAAACATTCCTTTAATGTATTTGCGAAGGCTTTCACGGCACAACAAACATTCCTTTAATGTATTCACAAAGGCTTTCACAGCTGGGATCTGATGGTTGTTGTGGGTTTTTCGGGCTCTTTGGCTGTGTTCTGAAGGTTGTTCTTCCTGACGTTTCGCCTCTGAAGATGCCGGCCACAGAGACTGGCGAAATGTCAAGAAGAACAACCTTCAGAACATGGCCAAAGAGCCTGAAAAACCCACAACAAACATTCCTTTAGTTTGCCTGAGCATGGGAAGATATGATGGAGTCCTCTGTTTTACCAAGGTTCCTACTTACTTTGGATAACTGCTTACAGTCCTCCATAATTCAAGTCAGTGGTGGCTTCTCCATTTGGACAAGCTTTGTTTTTGGCCCTACCTCAGGCTAACTCTACCCACCACCCTTGCCTGTCTCCTTAAAACAGGTAGAAGGTATCAGTATGCGAAAATGCCTGACTCTCTCTACATATATCAGTGGTTCCCAACCCTAGGTCCCCAGATGTTCTTGGACTAAAACTCCCAGAAGACTTCACTAGCTGTGCTGGCCATCTGGAGATCCAATATTGGGAACCGCTGGTATATGTGAATACCCAATTTTGTCCTCTGCCTGCCACTGGTTTTTCTACATTCTTCCCCACTAATCACTGTGGACACCAGCAATGACCTCTTCAGGCAAATACTTGAACAGGTTTGTTCTTTTCACATATAATAAGATATTTCCCCCCAGTCTCTTGGGTGTTGCGCTGAACACAGGTTTAAAAAGTGCTTAAGGACGCAATCCTGCGTGCATTCCTCTAGAAATAAGCCTCATGGAAGTCAGTAGGATTCAACTTTTGGATGGATATTGTTATGATTAGTTGAAATTGTATCCCATTTTCTTATCAGTTGGTGCCTGAGACAGCTAACAAAGATCTACATCATCTCCATCATCTTAGAACTCCTAAGCTGGAAGGGACCCTGCGGATCACTGCGTCCAGCCGTTGTTAAGGAGGCACAGTGGAGAATTGAATTCCTAACCTCTGGCTCTAGAGCTAGCTACCCAAGCCACTGAACCAACTAGCAGTTCCTTACCAATACCAATTAAAAACAAGACAGTTCAATCATCACTGTACACAACTTATAGAAGTTATTTCGGCTTGCATGCGCTTGGCCTTTGAGCACACACAACTTCTTGTTTCTTTTAATTAATTCTGTGGCAGTGTCATTATAAAAATATGCTTGAGTAACCCTCAAATGGGTAGGCAGTTGTGGATCTTTAGCTGTTGTTAGATTGCAACCCCCATCAGCCCTAAGCAGTGCAGCTAGTGGCAAAGGATCATGGGAACTGCAATCAAAAAATACCTCATGTGTCAAAGTTATTCACCCTGATCTGAAAGCAGCTATTCTGTCCGTGTATTTGTGTGGGGAAGGAAAAGCTAGGGGTGAGCTAGCAGTGACAATTTTTGAACAACATTCATTTTAGCAAGGAAGAGTGAACACCTACTTAACTCTTCCATTGAAAGAAATGGGATTTAAACACTTCTTCATATTTGTCTGTATAGTGCTCGGTGTTTAATGCCCAGTGTTATTTGTGGAATGGGCAAGGGGCAACACATGGTATTCTGACTCTTTTCTCCTAGCAATATAATGTTACACGAGGCTTTCCACACATGCATTGATGCTGAGCTTTTGTCAGGTTGTCATCAGGTACTGGAAGATGCATGCCAGGTTCAGAGGTTATGGTATGCCATATCTTTGAAACTGTAACAGCAGGAACACACTTTCATAAAGAGAACAGTTGGATTTCCCCCCAAAATATCTTTTCTGCTTGAGACCACAGACTCAGGTATAATTTAACTATATGTTCTGTCTCATCCTTTTAGAATCATAGAATAATTCAGTTGGAAGGAGCTATAAGGCCATTGAGTCCAACCCCCTGCTCAATGCAGGAATCCAAATTAAGGCAGATTTGACAGATGATTATCCAATTTTCTCTTTAATGCCTCCAGTGTTGGAGTGCTCACACCTCCTGAAGTAATTGATTCCATTGTCATAATTCTTTAACAGTTAAAAAGTTTTTCCTAATGTTCAGACTAAATCTGTCTTCCTGTACTTTGATTTCATTATTATGTGTCCTGCACTCTGGGATGACAGAACAGATCCTGCCCCTCCTCTGTATTACCTTTCGTGTATTTGAAAAGTGCTATCATATCTCCCCTCTGTCTTCTTTTCTCGAGGCTAAACATGCCCAGTTCTTTCGGTCTTTCCTTCCACTGAGAAATCAAATGGCATATCTGGATTTGTCTTCTGTAAAAGGGGCACAGCCTATGCACATGGTTTTCCTTCAGATGTCCCAGTTTCAGTGTATCATGTCTCTAGGTGGGGCTGAGAAAGACTGAAATCCTAGGGAACCAATCCCTATCAATATAGACAGTACTGGTTAGAAGGACTAATGGTCTGAGATAGTGTCCTAACAGTCTTATGGGGTTAGTCAGACTATGAAAGAACAGCTGGACCAAGGACACCCAGCAAGTCATTTGAAGGCTACATGTTTCATTTCTGTCCTTAACTGTTTTCTGTACAACTTCTTAAACCTTGATAAGAACATAATCTTTAAATACAATAAATTATCAAGCTACAGAGTTAAATATTAATTTACTGAGCACATTGGGATTTATGGATAGGCATGCATAGGACAAGCAGTGGCTGGGTATGTGGAAAATCCAGATCCTTTTCTGTACTTTATGTTTTCTTTTATGATGTGGCCTTCCTTCCACTTCCTATGT